TTTTTTCATTCTGTGGGGTGGTCTTTTCACTCTGTCAGAGATTTCTTCTTTTGGGCAAAAACTTTTTAATAAGATCCCATTTGTATTTATTCTTTGTACTATTTCCCTTGCAGTCTGGGTTTTGCTCATGAAGTCTCTGCTCACACCTACGTCTTTGAGATTTTTGCCTATTTTCTCTTTCTGTAAATTTAGTCTTTCTATTTTAATATTTAAATCTTTGATCCATTTTGACTTTAGTTTAGTGCATGGTAATAGACATGGATCTAGTTTTAGTCTTTGATGTATAGAGAGCCAATTTTTCCACCACCATTTATTAAAGAGGCTATCTTTCTTCCAGTGAACATATTTGGCTCCTTTGTTAAAGATTAGGTGTCTGAGTGTGTTTGGGTTCTGTCTGCATCTTCTATTGGCTTGCATCTGCAACTTCTATTCTGTTCCACTGATCCTCAGGCATGTTTTTTGCCAATACCATGTTGATTTTATCACAATTGCTTTGTAGTATAGTTTCAGGTCTGGGACTGCCATGGCCCCTGACTTCCTTTGGTTGCCCAGAATTGCTTTTGCTATTCTGGGTCTTTTCTGGTTCCAAATGAGTTTTAGGAATGTTTTCTCTAGAGCTGTGAGATATGTTAATGGCATTTTGATTGAGATTGCATCAAATCTATATAGCAGTTTTGGGAGTATGGTCATACTCCCATTGTTTTTTTTAATGTGCCTTTTACTGCAATAGGTTTTTTCTTAATTTAAACACTCACTGTATCTTTTGATCAGCCCTTATAAACTTTGAGTCCAAAATGTAGTTTTGCAAATCATTGTAAATTTGAGTCATCTTCAAATTGACAGCAGCTTTGTTTTACAGAGTCAACTATAAAGAACACAGGGATTTAATAAAAATGAATGTTTCTTAGGTGCTCAGGAGGGCTACAGGCCGGGGAAAAGTGATTCTGGAGATGAGGATGCACATAAAGGTTTTTCTGCAAAACAAAATAGAATGCTAAGCCTCTGTGAAAGAGACTTTAGCAACTTTTGCATTGCTAATAGGTAGAATTTTCTGTAATATCTCACACAGGTTAAACACTAACTCATATGGTTATCAAATATTGCTTAACCATTTGCCAAGTGTTAGGCACAAAAGCAAATAAACATCCTTGCCTTTGTGGTGTGGGAGACATCTGTCTGTCTGTCTGTTGTCTAACAGTCAAGACTGAGAAGTATGTTAGTGGAAGGTGCCAGAGAGGAAGAGTAAAGGAAAACAGGAAACACAGGGCTGGGCAATGTCATAGTTCTAGACAGGGGGGTCTGGGAAGACACCTCCCAAAAAGAAATATTTGAGAGATCATTATATATTTATGCTCCAAATCATACATTCTAAATTAATCTAGCTACAACTCCGAGCTGCAGTTTAATGAGGTGGTAGAAATTTCTCCTCTTCTGAGTCCCTCCTCTTCCTGGGGTTGTGAGGTCTGCAGGAATCTGTATCTTGGTCCTCTGGTGAATTCCAGCCCTTGTCATGTTCCAGCCTGATTACTCTTGAGGACTCTGTCTAAGTCTGCATGATCCTTGAAAGCCCAGTTCATCTGTTAGGGCTCCAGAGCCACGCCTTAACCTTGTCACCTAGGCATCCAACAGCCAGCACCTAATAGGAGTTCTCCACTATGTCGACACAATTCTGGGCTACTATAGGAACTCCTCCTAAATCTCTCAAAACCATCTCCATTTCAGAGAAGCCTCGTGATAGAATTTTTCCTCCTTTCATTTCAGGAGATCTTTTCTAACAGCCCTTCTAACAGCCAAAGCTCCCAAAGAGAAGCATGGTGTGTTATGTGAAATAGACTAGAAACAGAAGGCAGAAAATCTCCACATGATCTCACTTGTAAGTGAAACCTAAAAGCATTGAACTCAGAGGAGCAAAGAGTAGAATGGTGGTTATCAGGGCTGAAGAGCTCGGGAGAAGTTGGTCAAAGGATTTTAAACAGAAAAGTCTTGGTGATTGTTTTCAGGTATCCGGCTACCTTTGTTTTGAACCCCAAAGCCTACTTGTTGAAGAAGAATGATTTTTTTTTGGCTTAAGTAACAGAAATTTATTTTCTCAAATTCTAGAAACTGGACTTCCATGACGCGGTGTTCCCAGGTTGGCTTCTTCTGAGAAGTCTCTCCTTGGCTGGTAGACAGTTCTCTTCTCCCAGCACCCTCACATGGTCTTCCCTCTTACACGCCTGTGTCAAATCTCTCCTTATAAGGGCGCCACTCACATGGTAGGACCCACATTAAAGACATCATTTTAATTTAATTACTTATTTAAAGATCCTATCTCCAAATACAATTGCACTCTAAAGAATGAACTTCTTAACAGAAGACTCAAAATGAGAATTTTAGCTGGGCAGGGTGGCACACGCCTGTAATCCCAGCACTGGAGAGCCTGAGGCAAGAGGATCGCCATGAGTTTGAGGCCAGCCTGGGCTATATAGTGAGTTCAAGGCCAGCCTGGACTACAGAGTGAGACCCTGTCTCAAAAAACAAAGAACAAAAACAGAGAGAGAGAGAGAGAGAGAGAGAGAGAGAGAGAGAGAGAGAGAGAGAGAGAG